TGTATGGATTGTGATAAGAGGTGTACGAGCCCCAAATAAAATAATTTATTCTTTTTAAAAAAGACTACTGAAGTCTTCATGTGAAAGGCTAAAGGGCTCCGTCTTCAGGTAAAGAGCATAATATTAATGATCAAGGAGAACAAGTCCTGTTTCACGTGCGTTAGCAATACGTAGCTTGTAAACATCATGTCTGCAAACTCTTTCGCCCTTCGTCCATCCAGAGATGAAGCCTTTGTTGCTTCCCTGTGAACATGGAAGGACCTTGTTCGTTGTGAGCTCCTGGCAGGACCATTCACACTCAGGGAGACTCCCTGTGTGCAGAGTGGAACTGCTCTCCCGTATTGTCAAGGTTGTGATCTTTTAGAAGCCGATCACTGATCTTTCAAGTAATCATCAAGCATTTCCCATCCAAGTGACTTGATCATTTTTCAAAATGTGACAGAAATCTGGCTTCATTATTTGGGGACTAGTTTAGAAAAGACCAGACAGTTTCCACGTTTCCCAGTTAACGGAGAAGCAAGACAGTAGCAGATCAAGAAAGCAGTCGAATTTGAAACCACACCACACTCAGATGAACTTGATGGAGCACAGGAGACTGTGAAATGGAATCTTCCTACCCAGGAACATGGTTGCGTAACTCTAAACTTGTTTCAGTTTTTTAATGTTTTTCAACAAGGTTTTGTATTTTCTCCATAGACGTACTAAATACTTTTCATTAGATTTGTTTCTGGATACTTAAGTGTGTTTTCATGCTATTAAAAAAAATCTTTTAGCATGATCTTGTCTAATTGATTATTATGGTAAATAATGATATTGGTTTTTCAAAATTGATCTTGTGATTCAGAGCCTAGAGTACAAGTTCTTTCTTTTAATAGTTTGTCTATTCGTTTGGATTTTCTTTTCAGTCACTTATTTTTCTCTGCATGTCAAGGTCTCATTTCTCTCTGCTTTTCTCGTCTTGCTAAGAAGCATAATGATGCTAAAGCACATCGTATTAGACTCCTCGTGACGGACGCCTCCGCATGCAGCACAAACATGATGGTTTAAGACACCAGACATTCATTTTCTCACAGTTCCAGAAGTACAAATTCAAGATGTCGGCAGTCCCGCACACTCCTGTCTCTTCCCCTTTCTGGTAGCCTCACAAGTCTTAGCCTGGCAGCACACCTCCACTCTGGGCCTCTGGGTATCTTCCCTGGGGTGTATTCTCTTGCTTTGAAAGATACCAGTCATGTTGGATTAAGGCTGTCCTACTCCAGTCTGAACTCCTGTTAACTAATTACATCTAAAAGGCTCCATTTTCAAATAAGGTTGCATTTATAGGTACTAAGAAGGAGTACTTCAACCTATCTAATTGTGGATCACAATTCCCACCCAAAAAAAGCATCACTGTGCCAGACATATTGGGAGTTTATAATCCCAGGTCCTCTGCATGCTAACTGTGTAGCCGAAGGCAAACTATTTAACTCAAATTATCTGTAAGTAAAAGAACATTTTGTTGCAGTTGTAGTGTTTGGATTTTTATGGATACTGTAGTTTTATGGATTTTATTTCTAATACTGTAATTTTATAACCAATACTGTAATTTTGTAACTAATACTGTAGTTTTATGGATTTTATTTCTCAAGTGGTTGCTTATTTATTTCCAATGTGTCATTTACTTTTATAACACACTTAAAAATGAATTAATGGAAGGATTAAGAATACCAAATAAAGAAATACAGAATTCAAAACCAATTGCTTTAAACCTTCGATTCGATAGATATGGAAGTATTCTGATAAACTACAATAAACCCAAACTTACTATCATCCCGTTGACTCTGACTCACAGTGACTCTCCACAACAGAATAGAAATGCCACATTGGAAAACCCCATCTTTCTGCCACAGAGCAGCAGTTGGGTTTGAATGGCTGACCTCTCGGTTAGTAAACTGTCCAACTAATCAGCCACTGGGCAACTAGGGATCTCTAAACACTCTCTGATTCTCAGCTCAGGTCAATGTGGTCTGATAACACACTGTTAAAAGACTGGTACTGTTATAATGTCCATACTTTGGTCCTCGTGAACCAAACCAAAACCACTGCCCTCCAGTCAATTCTGACACCTGATGACTCTGTAGGGAGTATAGAATAGCCCCTGGGAGTCTTCATAGCTTCCTCACATTCTCTGCACTTCTGTTTGTTAATCCGTAAACTGTACATTAAAAAAATAAGAAAACTTAGCTAACCAACTTTAAGCACTTAGAACAGTTCCTGGCAAAACCCTAAGGTGCTCACTAATTGTTAACTAGTAGTATTTTATTTTTTAAAACACCATAAATTAATACTGTGCCACCTTTTCTACAACACCATATCTTAGTTTTTTAGAAGATGTAATGAATGTTATCATTGATTTATTGTTAAACATATATACAGAGAAAGTCAAAGTACCACCTTGAGTATATCTTACCTTAATTTTGAGAAAAATCTCAAAAACAGATTTGACGCATTGAATACTAATAACAAAAGATCTGATGAGCTGTGGAAGGACATCAAGAACATCATACATGAAGAGAGCAAAAAGGTCGTTGAAAAGACAGGAAAGAAAAGATAAAGTGGGTGTCAAAAGTGGCTCTAGAACTTGCTTTTCATTGTCGAGTAGCTAAGGGCAAAGGAAGATTTAATGACATCAAAGATCATAACAGAACATTTCAAAAGGTAGCTCAAGAAGACAAAGTAAAATATAATAAAATATGCAAAGAACTAGAGTAAGAAAACCAAAAAAGAAGACCACGCTCAGCATATCTTAAACTGAAAGAAGTAAGGGGGGGAAATCAAAGCTTGAGTTGCAATATTGAAAGATTCTCTGGGTGAAATATTGAATGATCCAGGTAGCATCAAAAGAAGATGGAAAAAATGCCATCACTGTACCAAAAAAATTAGTCGATATTAAACCATTTCAAGGGGTAGCATATGATCAAGAACCATTGTTACTTCAAGAAGTCCACGATGCACTGAATGCAACAGTCAAAAACAAGGACCCAGAAATGGATGGAATACCAAAAAGATGCTTCAAGAAGCTGATGAAACACTGGAGCACCCATTTGTCTAGGCCAGGAAGTGTGGAACACAGCTACTTGGCCAGCTGACTGAAAGAGATCCATATTTGTACCCATTTCAAAGAAAGAGGACCAAACAGAATGCTCAAATTATAGTACGATATCAGTTTTATCATATGCAAGTGAAATTTTGCTGAATGTAATCCAACAATGCCTGCAGGGTACATTGACAGGGAGATGCCAGAGGTTCAGACCAGATTCTGATTATTATTATTGATTTCAGGTGGCTCTTGGCTGAAAGCAGAGTGTCAGAAAAATATTTACTTATGTCTTATTGACTATGCAAAGGTATTCAACTGTGGAGTGTAATTATGGATAGCCTTAAGAAGAATGAGAATTCCACAACACTTGCTTGTGCTCAGGTGACACCTGTTCATGGACCAAGAGACAGTTGTGCAATCCTAACCGGGGAGACTGTGTGCTTTAAAATCAGGTAAATGCGCATCTCAGTTGTATCCTCTCACTGTACTTAATCTCTATGCTGGGTAAACAATCAGAGAAGTTGATCTATATGAAGGAGAACACTGCATCAGGAATGGAGGAATGTTTATTAGCAATCTGCATTATGTAGATGACACGACTCACCTGCTGAAAGTGAGGCAGACTTGAAGTACTTGCTAATGAAACTCAAGGAGGGAGCCTTCATTGTGGAGTACAGCTTCATGTAAAGAACACAAAATCTTCACCCTGGGAACAATAGGGAATATCGGGAAAAACAAAGAAAAGACTGAAATTGTTAGGGATTTCATCTTGCTTGGATCCGCAATCAATTCTCATGGAAGCAGGAGTTGAGAGAGCAAATGACACATTGTATTGGCTTAAATCTGCAGC